ATTAGTATTTTAATGTATCTTCAAAATTAAAACGAAAACTGATGTCCTTTCAAAACGTAAGCAATCATGACTCTCCACGTCTTCTTTTCCTTAAACATATGTAAATTATGAATAGTCATAGTTGTTGTTATTTCCCGTTACATTCGAATTTCTATTCACATATTTATTTCTCCTAGACTGGAATAACTAACAGGAGTAGAAAGCGCAATTTCTCTAACTATTTAACCCATAGATGGGAGAAGGCGCGGACAGAAGTAAATTAATGCGTCAGAATTATAATTCCTCTTGTCGAGTACATTTTCTGCACCAATAAGGTCGAAGTCATTCACATTCTTTTCTTTAGATGCTATTTTTATTATCTGCATAACACTAAAAGAAGTATTCAATTTTGAATATTAGTTTCAAATGATTTCTAAAGATACTGGGGTCCTATTGTAAATTACATATATCCAAGAGAAGAGTTACAACTAAAATATGCACACATATCTGTTCTGAGATGCCAGATTGTGTTTGTTCGTGCCTTTATATTTTCGATATATATATATATATATATATATATATATATATATAATAAAAAATGCTCAAACACTAATATTGCATGGATATAATTTATTACATTGATTCGTAATGACTCTGTCCCGGACACTAAGTTCTACATGGATTCTATCCTCTTGGAAATTTATTTATATAGATTTTATATATATATATGTGTGTGTGTGTGTGTGTGTGTGTGTGTGTGTGTGTGTGTGTGTGTGTGTGTGTGTGTGTGTGTGTGTATATATATATATATATATTAATTATATTATATATATATATATATATATATATATATATATATATATATATATATATAAATACTATAATACTATATATACATATATATAAAATACTATAATAGGAGGCTGAAAACAGCCGCGCCTAAAAGATATAAACATTAAAAAGTGCTCAATCCAAAATCCCAAACTATAAAATGCAGAGCAAAAGGATATACAAAAACACTAAAAAGCAGTCTACCACAATACCCGGGTTTCGACCGCAAGGTCTCTTCAGGCAAGTAGGACGATCCTACTTGGCGGTCGAAACCCCGATAGTAAGGTAGACTGCTTTTAGTGTTTTTTATATATATATATATATATATATATATATATATATATATATATATATATATATATATATATAGGTACATGCTTACAAAGTCTAAGATATACGGAAACGCATACACAATGATATAAGTATGAAAACACAATATACTTATACGCACATTCCCTGTTTTAGTTCAGGCGAAAACGTTGATTGCATTTATTTTAAAAAGCCATTAAATAAATTAAATCGTACAATGCAGCATTCGGCCTAAGATGGCCGAACAGCAATCGAAGATGGCGGTATGGCAACATCATTATTATTCACCCTTCTCTCGTCAGCTATCTATCTATCTACGTTCTTCTCTCAGACACACACACACTCTCTCTCTCTCTCTCTCTCTCTCTCTCTCTCTCTCTCTCTCTCTGGAAATTATTTTGAATTTCTTTTTGGTTTTGTATCACAAGATTTCTTGGATCTTTCTGTGGGATGCATCTTACCGTGTTGCTTACTGCTGGCTTCTGCAGCTTCACTTAATTTATGGCAATTTAAAATATGAAATGTATTCTCTCTCTCCCTTTCTTTCTCTCTCTCTCTCGCTTCTCTCTCTCTCTCTCTCTCTCTCTCTCACTCTTCCCTTTTTGTCTCTTTCTTTCTTCCTATGATACCTCTCCTTCTCTTTCAAATGCTTATTATTCATTTCTTTTTCCGAAATTTCCTATGTTTGCTCTTCCCCCTTCACAGAAACATAATCATTTTTTCTCTCTCTTTCTTTGTACTTTATGTCTCTCACTAATTTTCAAATGCATAAGCCCTCCCTCTCTCTCTCTCTCTCTCTTTTCTGGCTCTCTTTTTTTTACTCACCCTCGTCTCTCTCCTTCTCTTTCAAATGAATATATCTTCCTTCTCTCCCGATATAAGTGAGTTATCTTTTCTCCTCTCTCACAAAAACACGCACTTTCTTACCCCCTCTCTTTCTCTTTGTCTCTTTATTTGTCATTTCTCTCTACTTTTTTCTCTTTCCCTCTCTATCAAATGCATATTATTCCCTTCTCTCTCGAGAAAACCGATATATGTTTACTTCTTTCTCCGATAAACACACACACACTCTCTCTGCCTCTCTCCCTCTCTTACTTTTATTTTTCTCTCATTTTTGCTCTCCCTCACTTTGATATATATATATATATTATTACCTTCTCTCTAGAGATTACTTATATAACTATTACTTCTCTCTCAAAGAACGAGACTTTCTCTCTCTTCCCCTCTCTCATTCCCTCTTCCCTTCTTTCAAATGAATATCCTGATAGTCCTTCCAGAGATTACCTATATATCATTGGCTCTCTATCTCTCTCTCTCTCTCTCTCTCTCTCTCTCTCTATCTATCTATCTATCTATCTATCTATCATATTTATTAGTATTTTGGTTGCTTTTTTCTTCTTGTTTTTGTTGTTTTTTGTTCACAGAGACATCTGTCTTTTTCTCTCTCATCATTTTGCCTCTTACACCGTCGTTCATATAACCACTTCCGGTAAATCGGGTTTCTGCTTCTCACTCTTTCCCAACCCCCTCGCGTTTACACTTCGGCATACGTATGAGAGAAGACACACAACCAAAGACAGCGAGGGGGTGGGGAGTGCGAGAGAGAGAGAGAGAGAGACGTCGAATCATAAGCGTATTTAAAAAGCCGAAAAGAAAAAAATCTTTCTCCGAAAATGAGAGGATCCTCATTCCAACGTCACGTGACTTCAGTTTTCCCTTTCTTTCGACCGCGCATGAGTTTGTGCGTGTGTGGACATGGATACACGAATGGCAGAGGAGGAGGAGGAGTGGGGGGGTGAGCATGAGGGGGTGGTATGTTTGTGTATGTGTGTAAAAGCATAAATCATTCCTGTCCCTCAGGAACGTCTAATGACGTCTAGGAGATGTTTATGAACCCGAATTAATTATCCTTTCCTATAGGCGACATATCTCGCATCTCAACAAACCTGAAAAATAACAACAAAAATTAAAATGAATTTTGTGAAAAAGTACACAAATGAAGGAAAAAGCAAAAACGTGAAAAAGTACGCCATATTCACTATACTTTATTCATTTCGTTTCCTTAAATTTTTTCCACATTTAATTTTTTTTTTTGTTTTACTGTCAATTTTTTTTTAAAACTTTTTGAAATATAATTGTTTTTTTTTTTTTTGTTTATTTCTGAAAGCGTGAGAGTGTGGATATGAAGACTGGTTAGGGTTATGGGGAGGGGTATGTGATGATGATACAATGGACAGGCCAACTCTCCTTCTGTAGAGAATTTGAAATTTTATATGAATGAGAAATTTTTAATTTTTAACATTCCTATCAACCCATCGTCACCGTCACTCATTTCATTTGCTCTGTTTCCTATCTCATTTACACACACACATATATATATATATATATATATATATATATATATATATGTATATATATATATATATATATATATATATGAATATATATATAAACATATATATATATATGTATATATATATATATATATAGGCCTACATAAATATCACACGAACACGTACAAATATATATGAATGAGTGTATATCTATGTGTGTGTTTATATATATATATGTGTGTGTGTGTTTGTATATAAATATATATATATATACACACAAACACGCACATATAGATATATGTGTTTCAAATATGTCTAATTTAACAGATATTAAATATCTGTTATACATAAAGAATTATATACACATATATTTGTGACTACATTCAGAAATGTGTGTAAAAAACATGGTTGATTTCACATGTGAGTGTGATTATCAGTTCGAGCAGGCATGCCTGTGCGTGAGTGTGTGTCTGAACGCACAAGAGCGCGCGTTTATGTGTGTGTGTTTGTGTGTGTGTGTGCGCGCACACACTCTGGGCGCAGGTTCATCTCACTGCGTGTACGCGCATGTATGTGTATGTCCTCCTTGCTGTCTGGACATGATAATGTGTAATGTACGTCACTCCCACTCCCTCTCCCTCCCCTCCCTCTCCCTCCCTCCCTCTCTCTCTCTCTCTCTCTCTCTCTCTCTCTCTCTGAGTATGTGTGCGTATATATACCTCTACAAATAATTATACGTCAAAGTATTTAATGAAATTATGTATTTTTAGGATCCAAATATATATATATATATATATGTGTGTGTGTGTGTGTGTGTGTTTGTGTGTGTGTGTGTGTGTAAATGTGTAAATATAAAATTCAGTGTGCTTGCGTGGATATGCATTTATTAAAATTTAACTCGGTTTTATGAATTTTAATATTTTAAAAAGTTATTCATTTTTTTTATAGCGTAGCAAATTAAATTTTGTGTGTTAAATTAACTTTTCAGAGTGGAGCCAGCATATGTAAACAGAGACATACACACAAACACACATACACACACACGCGCACACACACACACACACACATATATATATATATATATATATATATATATATATATATATATATATATATATATATATATATATATATCAGAGAGATTGTAAGGTGATAATAATTCATTCTTCAATATGTTTTATTGCATTCAACCTTCAAGGTATGTCTTATTTCTTTTTTTCAGGTGTATGACAACTAAATAGATTTTATGAAGTAACATTTCATATATTAATTAAATTATATCTATGTATGTATAAACGTGGATTTGTGTATGCAACTAACATTTATATTTTCTATACGCCATTCTGATTTTTTTCATTGATTTTAATTAATATTTCTTATTATTTAAAACTTCGCATGTATATGAAAGTAATTTGCATATTTCTACATATTCACTTTTCTCTTCGTCATTAATGTTTTGCAGGAACTCAACTACGATGTCGCTAATAATTAATTTGTCTTGTGAAAAGCTATGGCAACACTGAATTGGCATATTTACTTCATATGGCATTAATTTGTGACCGCAATTTCTTGACCAGAAACATAACATTCAAGAGTAGACAGATTTAATAAACAGATAGATAGATAGATAGATAGATAGATAGATAGATAGATAGATAGATAGATAGATAGAAAGAAATGAAAGTAATGAGATAGATAGATAGATAGATAGATAGATAGATAGATAGATAGATAGATATGAAAGTAATGAGATAGAGAAATAGATATTAAAGTAATGAGATAGATAGATAGATAGATAGATAGATAGATAGATAGATAGATATGAACATATTGTGATAGATAGATAGATAGATAGATAGATAGATAGATAGATATGAACATATTGTGATAGATAGATAGATAGATAGATAGATAGATATCGAAGATATAGATAGATAGATAGATATAGGCGTTTTTCAGTTGGTTCTTTTAATTATTATTTTACTAAATATTCACTAAATACAAAGACCAAGTTCTACTCAGTGTAGAAGTTATCTTAATGATGTTATTGTTTGGACTCTAGAGGTGGAAGTGGGTTGATATCATGAGGATATGTAGGATAGATAACACCCTAGACTTGAAGGGCTTAAAATTTTAATGATCAGAGGATCATCCAACAGGTGTATGCTCCACAAATTAACCGTTCTCGAGAAGAATCTGTCCAAAAGGAATTGAATTGTTAACAATGAAATACGAAGGGAATGGGGATGATTCAACTCTGTGGATGTGGCGTGGATGTCTCTTATCTGTGAACTGGTTGAACTATGGAATTTAATTTGGTTTGAACACGTGTTTCCCTTTCACACCTGACTCACATTAATGGCAGGCGAAATGTGGTCGCATTGCGAATTTCAAAATTGTTTATATTCCTTATGAAAATGAGCTAAAATCTGATTACTTTCTGCTCTTTTAACGCAAAAAAGGAAAAAAAATGAGGCATAAATAGCAAAACAGCTAAGTGCTCTTTATAGAGATGGTGCTGTAGCTCTGAGTATTATGATTCACTAGATTGATAATAACTAAGAACCTTCTGGCAGAACTGCAGTCATTGATGATGACCAAATTGGAAAGCTGATGAAAAAATCAAGGTCACACGGCAAATACCCTTCGAAATGGTATGAATCTACCACTTTAGCTCTGAGCTATGGTTTTATTAGTAGAATTTGTATCAGCAAATCATAGTTATCTTCAAAAAATTCCTACAATCTAAAAGATATTTCTGTCTTAAAAAAACATGTAAATGGTTGATAAACCGTAAAAAACGAATCAATGAATTATACACATATATCTGAACTTACGCATTTTGATTACCACTTATTTTGATCCTTACAAAAATTTCTGAATAGAAAGAACTTCAATCCTCTGTAAAAACCACCTGGACCATTTTCTCTTTGGGCGGATAGACTGATGAAGCTGCCTCAAAGATGGAGAACAGTGCCAGAACAAAATAGGATAGATGTGGTTGAACTAATATTTATAAATTTATTGTGTCTTTGAAATTCACTTGAAAAAACGCTAGATTTTGTTCCGACTAGATAGATGTGAACAGATATGAAATAGATATATATTAATAGAATGTGATAGATAGATAGATAGATAGATAGATAGATAGATAGATAGATAGATGAACAGAATGAGATAGATAGATAGATAGATAGATAGATAGATAGATAGATGAACAGAATGAGATAGATAGATAGATAGATAGATAGATAGATAGATATGAAAATAATGAGAATTCTATTAACAGAATAGATAGATAGATAGATGTGAACAGATATGAAATAGATATATATTAACAGAATGTGATAGATAGATAGATAGATAGATAGATAGATAGTGTGCTGATTCCTGATAAAATCCAAATAAGAATCTGCAATGTTCTCAGTCCAGACCTGGCATCACGGCTCCGATCACTTAACCGAGCGCCGTAATGCAATTTTCCCTGTAATTATTCTGATGATCTTTCCTCTTTTGTTGCCCATCTTTACTAATTCAAGCGCAGTACTCGATTGGCAGCTAGTTCTCATCATTTTACAATTGAATTTTGCCTCATCTAACCGTAAGTTCACTGCTAACAATTCCGTGAATCTCTCATCTGGCTACTGGCCTCTGTGCCAATTCATTCAAACAAATTTTCGAAAGTAAAATTGTATTTTAGAAAAATCATATCATTAAATTTAACAACAAAATTGATGTCCACCCTCTCTGTCTCCCTCTCTCCCCATATATATATATATATATATATATATATATATATATATATATATATATATATATAAGCAAGTGTAAATGGATATAAATCCGACAGAATGAAGAAATTTTGAAAAAAACAAACAAACAATTTAAGGATTTTTGTTTGTTTTTTCAAAATTTCTTCATATATATATATATATATCCAACAGAGAAATCCCAAACTACCTCAGGAGTATAGTCTATTTCAACTGACGCAGAGTACGTCAGTCTTATTCAACCCAGACAGATGGACTGTATTTATGTCGGAACTAGAGATTTAAAATTTGACAATGACAGCAGTAGATAATTGATACAGAGCCTATCCATATTGAAGCCTCGCCAGAACAGATTCCCTGAGTAGTGGTACGTTGACAACAGAAGTTATCTGCCGTAAATAGAAAGAAGCTGCAGAAATTCAACCCAGATATTAACCTTATATATATATATATATATATATATATATATATATATATATATATATATATATATATATATATATATATATACACACATATATATATATATATATATATATATATATATATATATATATAGTGGTACTCGCTTGGAAACACCTTAGGTATTTCGGCTTGTACCCAAAGAAAAAATGAGGAATATAACTGGCCAGTTTTACCCTGATGATCCGTTTAGGTGAAACCTAGGTAGGTTTACCTCGCTCTTTAGGTATATATATATATATATATATATATATATATATATATAATGTACATTCGATTAATGCATTTTCGTTTAGTGTGCTAAAATTTTGATGTACCATAATTCGATAAGTGCATACCTGATATTCGATTAGTAAACCATTCTTCAATTTAACCATAATAATTGAACATCACTGTTTTTTATCGTTATCGATTAATTAAAAATTTTCTAATATTTAAAAATGGTAATATTACGTTATCTAAGTAATTACAGTACTGGACGGTTATAATTAGTTAACTTTTATAATATAAACCGATAATAAAAATTCATATCTAAATATTTGTCTCTATTAAAATTGTTTGAATAATTTGATTTTTTTTTAATGTGTATTTTGAAGCTATTAAAAAAAGAAAATTTCTGATATTTTGCTTTAACAAAAATTGGCAAATATAACGAACTCGACTCTCCGATTTAGCATTCCAAGTCGACATCAATTACACCAGCCGCACATCTTGAGTGAAGCTAAGGAACACGAATATAACATTCTGATCACTGCTACAATGCTCCTAGGTAGGGGCCAAGCTTCGATATGATGCATAGTATGCAGGCACTATACTAATCTTGTATAGCGTGCTGGAATGCGACACTTTGAGGATAGACAAAACGGAGAGATACTAAACTAATAAACGACAGAGGAAAGTGAAATATTCATAAACGGTAGAGAGCACAGATACTGCACTGATCTTTGGAAAGCGGCGAGAAAGGGAAGTGTTGATATGAGCGATTTTTGATTGGTCTTATACACACGCACACATATGTGTGTGTCTGTGCATGCGTGTGTTTGTATCTGTGTATGTGTAGAAATGAGATAAATAAAGAGTTATGATTCAACCCTATATGTGAGCGACAATGTACACATACAGGTGGATAAATAGCTATTTCTCTTAATCAATAGTTTGAAACAAAGCTATAAAATATACAAAAATTTATTTTTACATATATACCTACTTTTACAGTACGTCTCAGAGATCCATGGTTTCATCAGTTACAAAATTTATGAACTGTTCAATACGGTTACTTTTTTGTTTTTTTATTCTGGGTCTCATGGGAGCAAGGTCACTCTGTATGTGGGTTCAAAGTTCAAGATTATTATAAATATAATATTGAAATACAATTTCAAAATCTAAAGCATTGATAGGTAGATATCGATAAATAAACTAAGGTATTTAGTAAGTTTAATAAGGATATTGATTCGTTAATGTATATTGAGTCAACTATTAATATTATTGTAATACGCACTACAAAGCTCTGGTTGTTACTAAATAAAAAAACGTGGGTAGACAAAAAAGTATGTAAGGTACAGAATAATAATAAAAAATAAATTAAAAAATTTAAAAAAATGAATGTTTTTATTTTTTATTTTTCCTTATATTTTGTCATTTTTTCCTTTCAAATACAGGGTGACCCAAAAATGGTAACTTTTTAACAATCCAATAAAACTAAGAGTAATGGAAGAAAAAATATTTTATTCATAGTAATTGAAACCTTAAAACATGCCATTTAAGAAACAATGATGGAATTTTCATTTTTTGAAAATTACGTCCTGTAGATGGCGTCCTCCTGTACGAATGCATTCTTGAAATCTGCTGTTGAGATTCCTCATTGACTGCTGCAACATCTCAGCTGGGATACTGTGAATTTCATCTTGAATTCTAAATGGCGAAATGTTTACTTGCTCAAGGTCACTGTCTCGCAGTGTTGCCACTTGCCCATGTCTGGCAATACGCACTTAAAAAATTCCCGTTTTTTGGGTCACCCTAGACTAAAGTGTAAATTCATTCAATAAAATCGCTATTAACTTCAACCATGGACTCCAGGCGACTTCGGATTCTCCCGCATCTATTCTGGACGCTCTCCTTGTTTAAGTTGGTGAATGCTGCCATAATCCTTGGCCTCAGTTCATCTTTAGTATTACAAGGAATTTTTTTTTGTCTCTCGCTCAGCTAAACACCACACATACCAATCAAGGAGGTTACAGTCTGCGGAGTTAGGTAGACAATGATAAGGGATGATGTCGTCGCAGAAATTGTCTGAGAGCCATAACTGGGTTCTCCTGCTTGTGTGGCATGGTGCATAGTCATATTGCCAGACATAGGGTCTTCCAGCAGCCACCCTCTTGACCCAGGGTAGCATTACCTCGTCAAGACACTTGATGTAGTCCTCCATGTTGATCACGCAAAACACTTTCGTAATCACCATTGGAATCATCCAACTCTTTCCTCAGATTGATACCCAAATACTGTGAAATGTTCGTATTATAGCTTCCGACGTGAATGCCAAGTAGTACAGTATGCTGTTGCCAAATTTCTGGTGGAGGGAATTGCGTTATTATCCTCCTTGTTCACACGCGGTGACCAACTGACCCTAGTATATTGGGGCAGTCGACAAAATCAGAAGAAAACAACGCGCATGCGAGAAATTAAAAATATAAACCCGGCGACAATTTAGCCATCGCATCCTGTATATACACGCACATACAAACATATATAGTTTAGGAAAATCTATAACAAAAGTGGGGAAAATGTTTCTTGCGACGCGTTTTGTTCTTCATTGGACTAACGTGAATATTTACGATAGTGTGACTGCACATGCGCACGAAGAGATTGTGAATCTTTAACTTTTAATTTTTTTTTTTTTTTTAAATATGTCTTTGGCTATATACTCTATCCAATTGGTACTTAATTTGCTTTTCTTTTTGTTTCGGAATTTTATCATTTTTTGTTATTATGTATCACACATTGTGATAATAAAAGTTCTGCCAAGAAAAGTGAAATGTTGTAAGAACTTGGACATCTATGAACGATCTAGCGATTAAAGCACTTTCTATAAACTTTCGTCTTAGTAAATCACTTTCTATTTTAGAGTAGCATTTTTTAAATCTAAAGTATGCTCAGATTGCAGTGAGCATTAAACATGAACGTGTTGTTTGGTAAAATTTCCCTTTTGTGTTCATGTCATTTTTTATTTAAATTGATTGTGGTTTCTTCTATGTATACCTTATGGCAATCATTACAAATGATAGAGTAAATTCCTCCTTCAAGTTTTAGCTTATTATTATTTGTTAGGATTGTTTCAAAAGTAGCTGTAAGAAATTTTAGGATAAGGTTAGATAAATTATTTCTAAATGTAGTTGTGACAAAGTAGGTACGTATTTTGATTCGTTGAGTTCGTCAGAATTGGCCACTCTTCTATTTTGAAATATTCTGTGTCTTTTGTTTAGAAAATGAAATAATTTGGGTATTGGAGGAGCTTAAAAGTATTTTCAATCTATTTCTCCTTTTCATATAAATATTGTGAGCTACAAATTCTCAGTGCGCTTAAATAGAAACTGATGATTATTCTGAATTTTATTTTGTTGTTATTGTGAGAATAGAAATTTATAAGTTAATTTAATTAGTTGATTTGTGGTGGACAATTAGGTCTAGGCACGGTGTTATGCGATATCTAGGAAAGGTAAAGTATTATTTGTTTTTCTTTCGTAAGTAAATGCTATCATATGTTCGACTTTGTTTACCTAAAAGGTCAAGTAATGTAGTTTTGCGTCGATATATAAATAGATCGTCACCAATATATCGGAAATATGTTGATTGTTTAGGTAAAATGATAAATTCAAAAATTTTAAGAAAATACTTGCTAAAACCCCACTAAGAGGTGAACCCACTGGGAATCCCAAATTTTTAATATAAAAAATATTGTTAAAGGTTAAGTAGCATTGATTGGTGATGGGTAGCTATTAATAGGGAGAAGTTGATTATTTATTGTTACTAGCTATGAGCTTATATATATATATATATATATATATATATATATATATATAGAGAGAGAGAGAGAGAGAGAGAGAGAGATAGGGTAATGGATAGCGGCCTGGATTGAGGAATCGGAGAGGCGAGTTCGAATTGGGAAAGATGTGAATCCTGTTCTTCTTCCTCCAGCTATGGGTAAATAGCAGGGCAGACTGGGTTCTATAGCCTTGGATGGCAACTGGTCTAGGAGAAAGAACAACTCTGAATTCAAGAGAGGCTTGTTTGGAGACCTTGCGGCACGTAGTGCACCTGGTCTCTGTATTCGGCCCTTCAAAAAGTGTGGATGAAACCTTCACCACTATAATCAAATCTCATGAGCTGTTGTCGGGCTGTCGGTTTCCTACGAACTGATCTGCTTGACCCTCATACATCGAATTCGACGGGAGAGTCGAGTGTATATGTGTGTGTGCACGTGTATATATATATATATATATATATATATATATATATATATATATGTATGTATGTATGTATATAGTAAGAAGAGAGAGAGGAGAGAGAAAGAGAGAGAAAATTGATATCCGTGTATCCAATTAATATGAAAACTAAATGACAAAAATGTTTTTGTAGATTTTATTCTTTAGTTGACCAAATAAAAAAGTACAAAATTCCGTTAATCCTCGCCAACATTTAGTCAAGAACTGATGATGGTTGGTGTAATTATATTTCAGTGTTCGCTTTCAGTAGATAGATAGATAGATAGATAGATAGATAGATAGATAGATATGAAAAGGACTGAGATAGATAGATAGATAGATAGATAGATAGATAGATAGATAGATTGAACATTAAAATCAACACCTAGTGGCGACAGTCTGTTTCATACTCAAAGCAATCGTCAGGCAATATGCATTGTGTTTTTGCTCGATTATTTATATATACAGGTCATTGATGCATTATGGGTAGTCTATTGTATTACTCTAACGGTTATTTTGGTGTGCGGTAAGAATTGTTTCGAATAATTCTAAGGGCTATTGGGTGGAAATAATTGTGGATCCGGATGCAGTTTAGTGGTTTGCTTTAATCTGCTTTACTTATTTTTGTTTATTTATATTATTTTATTTTTTTATTCATTTTATTCATTTATTTTTGTATATTTATTCATGCTCGTTTTTAGTTTTTAGTTTTCCGGCTTGAATATTAGAGAAATCTTATTGAAGAAAATTATGAGCTGTCCGTCAGGATTTGAACCTGCTTCCCCCTAGCTGGAGAAACCATCGTTAAATCCAACCCAGTTCTGCTACGAAGGCTCTCGCCGATCGATCAAAGTCGATGTGTGCCTTAAAGATTCATGAAACATTCATATTCACATATATTATTAATAAAAAAGCATTAGAAAATTTACATCGGCCACACATGCACCACACTCTCTCGCAGATTGACCTGTCACGATTCGAAAATCTGTGACCATATCGACCGACACATCAAGAACTACCAAAATGTAACTATCAACATAAGACAAATATTAGTGGATAACACCAATTATATATATATATATATATATATATATATATATATATATATATATATACTTATTTTCTACTACAATCTCTCAAACGCACAGACACGCGGACACTAACACAAACACACACGTATGCTTATATATATATATATATATATATATATATATATATATATATAGAGAGAGAGAGAGAGAGAGACAAAGAGGGGAGACAGAGAGAACACCAGAAATACACCCTACATAATGGCATCACATTGGTTACAATTTTACCTT